GATAGAGTTCACTTTTTTTGGATTGCACTTGCACTATTCTATCAATTATTTGATCAAAACTATCGCCACCAATACGATCAGAGTGATCTCAATCACACTGTGAATATTCCATACAGTTCAGATCAATAAATAATATCAATATTCGCATTAATCAACAACATTCAAAAGAAACGAACTGTACAAACAAATAAGCACAAAGCAATTAATGTGACGGATTGATCGATATGTATACATTTAACTATTGAATACTGTCTACAAGTTGATCACATACTAAAAACTATCTCTTAGAATAAATATTCAGCATTCGGATGAGATAATGATAATGATAACGGCAAACATAAAAATAACCTCACAATCGGATACACTTGGAATAGCAGGCTGCTTCGATTCAATAATAATTTATCGATAGTTTCCTTCTGATTATTCCGTTCGGCACTTTTCTTGATACAATTCGTCAGAATTCACCCTCTTCGGATATCGGTGACATTGAACAATCTGAAATGACACGAATAAAACAACGCTAGATCAGAGCTGCATTAGGTGATGATCGATAATTATAGAAGGATGCGTAGTGACCAGGCTTTGCAGTATCACAACACCGACGTTACAATACTAAATAATGGCATCGTCTATGCGCAGGTAAATTATCATTTATAATAAAACAACAATATTCCTAATAATAATAATAATATCCAAAGGTAAGCATATCAGTACGATCGACGTGTTCGTTTGACTTCTCAAACTATCCGCGAGATGAGCAAAGCTGTCTCCTAACCATGTTCACACCTTTGCCTATGTCCAGGTATATATATNTATATATATTCACATCAATAAAAGTAATATAATAATAAGACATACATACCTATCATACCAGACTGAAGTTCTCACGTTGGACTGCACTCACACAACGCTCAGACCTGTTCGGACGTGCGATGAATGGTGACGATAGGGCGGTTGGGGTGAGCGGTGAGACGATACGCAGCGGCGAATTCGTGCTCACTGAAACGATCACGAAACCGCTGTTCATTCTGCCGTTTGGACGTATCACAAGCAACGATACAGCGTGATTACACTCTCTTTCTTAACCTTTTCCTCACACCTGCAATTCGATATCAATAAAATTCGATATCATATCAAATTCTAGTGATCGACCCGAGGTGATGCGTTCCATCGTAAGATTCGAAGTGAAATTCAAACGTCTCATCTCAAACTATATCCTCTCCATATCTCTACCGCTATTCTGCATCTCATGGTTCGCTGAATATTTTTTTCTTTTATCATCAAATAACTATTATGAGACTTATTATTACTGATTATAATAATAATAGTAATAGTAAAATTACAATTTCAGTATAACATACATGTCAGCAGCAGTAACTGACCCAAAAACATCGTTAATATGGTTACTGATGTGTTTAATCGCTCAAATTCTAAACTACTCTCAAATGATACACAAGCTACCACCCGACCACATCAATGCTCCTTTATGCGGTAAAATTTTTCTAATATTAATAAAGAATAATAATGTTACACAATAATAATGAACAATAATAATACTTACTTACTCTAAAAAAATACTTACTTTAATACTTACATACTCTAAAAATACTTACTATAATACTTACTTACTCTAAAAGATATCGAATAATGATAAACACCAACCTACGTTAAATCTAGCACTGTCGATTGTGCGAACAACACAAAAAAAACCACCAGATTGTTGACGTTTCATTTCGTCGAATCGATCACTTCTTTAAAAATAAACAAACTTCAGCACGCCTCGCCATGTTAATATTCGGTGAAACACTGCTACTGTTCCTACTTCGTATTGTGATCACTTATCATCACAACAATAATAATAACAATCCAATGACAAGCAAACCCGACGAACACCCATCAAAAGACCCAACTGAACTCAATCACGATCAGCCACCGTCAACAACCGCTCAACTCAACAACACATTCTCAACTGTTCAACTAACTACTACCACCAGCAGCAGCAGCACTACAGCCACTGAATCGTCTTCAATTGCCGATAATCAATCGACAAAATTCAGCATGCCATCCTTCACGAAACTTCAATCGAACCCTATCACCACTTCATTCCTAGAGCAAATCCTATGCGCATTCCTACTAGTACACACCCTTATCAACGCAATCCTCCTATTCATCATCTAAATTATCAATAAACCAACCTATAACATACGATAAGAAACAATCATCCAAGTTCCACGATAATAATTCCCGACCACACGCCACCCAACTACAATCACATCAATCGTCCACTGTCCGTTGTCGTCGTAGCTCTCTGAAACTGCTGTCAGGCTAAACGCTGCTCCAGCAGCACTATCACTACTACCATTATACGGCATTACTAAATATTAACATATCAATCACCTGCAA